GGGTAAGCTCTTGTAACTAGGCAGGTTTATCCCGTTTACAAACATAACCCTGCGCTTTGGATACAAATTTAGATACATTCTGAATGTAAGGCATTGATTAGAAACGGTTTAGGTCTCCACTTATGCAAATTACCTCTTTGTGAAGGTTACTTCGTAAATCCCAATCATAGTGTCTCATTTTTTCAGGCACGCAATATTTTGTTACGTGCAAGAAATGTTTTTCGGGACTTGGCTGAAGACAACCCTAATAAAGCCAATATGGCGGAATACATCGAAGCGATCCTCGCAGCGAGGTATGTACTGCATCGGCTGAGAGCTTTTAGGGAGTACTTGCTGTAGACTGTGGATAAAGACAAAATAATCTTCAATTGACAAAGCAATGCTAAATTACTAGACATTTGACAAACATCTCAAGGAAACAGGGACGCCGCTAAATTAACATACATCACTTGCTAGGCGCACGGAAAGAAAGGCCCACGTCCAAGTCAAAATTTTACAACCGAAAGGTTCGGTTGCAGACAACGGTTTTTTGCATTACGATCTAAGAGTCTTGGCTGTCGGTGGTGTTTCTTATTTCCATTCCCGGCACAATTAACCTTTTCTCAGATTGTTGGAGTATTGTCGTCTCTTGGCAATATCTCAGTAAATAACCCTTTCAGAGTTCTGAAAACCCAAATATTCATAATTAGGCCAGATGCTAAACCTGTAGTGGGAAATTGAGTTTCATTTGCCTATAAATGGAGATCATTTGCAGTGCAAAGCCTCGCACTTCTTATTTTATTCCTATGACCCCAAAGGGTGATAAGCATCTAATTTCTCCTTACAATATTACCCTCGAACTACCAGCTAAAGCCACAAGAATAAAGGAAATGATCACCAACTTAAGAAGCTCTTTATTGACAGACAAATTCTTACAGCCAGTACCTTATAAAATGTATGAGAAACCTGCTCTACACACAGCTATCGCCACTAAGATTCTGGTTTATTCCGTCCTGTTTCCTCTGTACCAAAGATCTGTTTGATTTCTTATGAATGTGTTCATTTCAGGCTGGGTACTTTACTTTCTGATCACGCTGTCAATGATCCTCATTTGAGAAAGCAAGAATATGCCCGCAAGGATTTGATTATCGCCTGCAAGGTGGGTGATCCACATGCTAATTCTCTATTTACGTTGATTTGTAATTTCGTAAACATTTTATTTTTAATATGTAATTTTCTCTAATTGAGTTATATTTGTTTCTATTTCTTTTCTACTGGTATTATTTAGCAGTGGTAAATAACAGAAAGATTATAGTAATAATTTGTTTGTAAATCAGTCAATTTTAAAATGGAAGCCCTCTCTAAGTCCATTCTTTTTATCAAAAGATATTTTTTTATCCTTATTTTTTTTTTACAAAGGAGATTGATTTCACTCTCAAATTTAAAAGAAACCTAAGATGAAAAAAATATGACTCTTGTGTTGTCTTTCTCTGATCACAGCATCTGTCCCGTGCGGCGGAAAAACTTAGCACATTGGGTCGCAAACGAGAGGCTGTTAAGGTCATGTTGAAACTTGTAGCCATCAAGAGAGCCTTTGCTGAAGATAGTATTACCCCTGAGGAAAGACAAGACAATCTTCTCGAGGTACCCACCCAGGCTTCCTCGCCCGGGCGGTTTTACGCAGTCAAACTCGCGCGCGCGAAGCTAAGAAGGATACACGCATTTCTCAAGTACACCTAAAAATCTCATGATTTCGCACTAAAATTTTCTTGATTGGGAACTACCTTACAGGTATCAAATTCACGTATCAGCAGAAACACACTCGTGATGCACATATACGTGGACGCGGTACACATGATAGGTTTGTCTCACTTGTTTATTGTGTCGTTTTTTGTAGGCTTTCGATATCCTGAAAACAGCTGTAAGTCTATCTAATGCTGTGTTACATGATGTCCAGTCCGTTTCCAGTCTGTCAGAGGTGGGTGTCGCTATTCTTATCACTTCATACTTGAGTTATTCCAAGGTACACCTATATCGAAATGTGCTTTTTCTTTAGCTCCGTAACCTAAGCCTGCCTGTTCAGCGAGAGGCGGTAGACGCAAAGCTTGTCATCTCAAAGCTGATGGTTGACATGTTGAAACTGTTTTCAAGTGAAGATCGAGGAAAACGAGAATTAGAGACACAGAAGGGGAGCATCGAGAAGGTAAGGAGAGTTTTTACTCAGGAAATGAAACTGATATTTATTGTCTGTATCCTAATTGCCACCCCATTCATATTGCCTTTTCTCTTAGAGTTAGTGTTTTTGTGAGAAAATGACCGGCAAAGCAAGATTGAATTTGTTTGTGTACGACGAATTCGTCTTGATTGTCTAATTGACGCAAAAGTTGTCGACGGATTTTTCTTTTTAACGAAAACGTTTATGTTTGTTTGCTCCCATACGCTAAGCTTAAGTCCAAAGAGAATTGTGGGTGCGATTAACGCGAAGTAGGGAATCCTGTATCATTTATTGATTAGTGGGTTTCAAGCGAGCCAATCAGATCAGTTCATGATTACCTATAGTCGGCTGCGAGTGTTTAATGCCAAAAGTTGCTCTTTTTATAATTCAATATATTACATTTTGCAGTAAACATAGTATTGGGAAAGAAAAGGAACTAATTGATTTTGATTCCTTTTTTTGCAGATGATAGACGACTACGTTGGTGTGGAGCCCCCGCCAACTGAGAAGCAGAGAAAGTGGCGAGAAGTAACGAGGTAATTTTTGAACAGACGTCCGCTTTTTTTTGTTCCATTGATTTCTTCATTATACTCCAAAGTGATTATTTTCTTAATTTCTTTCGAATTGTTGCCATTGTAGGGGTGTCCCATTAAACTGCGATGATCGTTTCATCAGTTTTCGACTGTAATTTACAAAATTTCGTTAAACGTGTTGTTTCTGTTTTACTCAGTACCCCATCCATTCCTCATTCCTTACTCTTGTTAAATTTTTCTTTTCGAAGAACTCTCGCCGAGGATACTTTGATGCAGCTATCTATGGCGCATGGCCTTACGGGTAACGTGGCATATCTCCGGGCTAAGGTAAGGAAAATGATACAAGATGAAGACGACTTATTTGAACTTGACACGGCATAGAGCAATTGTCAATTTAGGTTCGAAAGTAATCCAAGATGGACCTTCAGCACGCAGCATTCTTTTTCATTCCCCGGGACACAAAAGATTTGTTTGTCTGTGCAAACTCGCCATCAAAGGTAGACTTGAAGGTTAGGCACAAAACTTTGTATCCATAAAATTCGACACAGCCGCTGCGTGATAACGGTTTATTGCATTGGTTTTGCATGAATTCGCTCTGTGATTTCTGTAGAAAACTCGCGCCACCTTGGCGACCACTAAATGTAAAACAAAGATCAATCGTTAAATTACGAATCGGCCGCTCAAGTTTCCTCGAGCTCATGGCAAACTGCTGATTTGCGTGGAATTGTCATAAACTCCTTGTAGTATTTTCCTCTATTCTGTTCTTTCAAGGAAAGGTGACCTGCATGTAACCATTCCTCGCATGTTGTTTCCAAAACAATTATTTTTTTTCATATCTTTGAAACATAAAAGAAAGTTATTCTGTTTAGCTGATCAACGGTTTGTACTCTTTCTTCTTCTACCTTGGCAGACACTTTACATACTTGGCTGCTGCCTGGGTGTACTAGCGGCGCACACGGCTCCTGATTCAGATACCCAGTGGAAAGAACTAGAGGTAGGGCAAATAACACTTTCGCTCGTCTTGTGCACGTAACAATCCATAAGGTTAAGTTTCTCACTAGTCGAGGAACCGTTCATAATCCTAATATAGATATTTTTTCTTACGTTACGTTTGCGCCAGAGGCCGTGCTGAATTCTAGCTGAATCGCAAAGTATTTCAGGCTAGTTTTTAATAGAATGGTCAACTTATTTTCAACTGGAAGCATAATTCGTTTGTTTCGCTGACTGAACACAGTAGCAGAGAGCAAACTGACATGTTAATAAATAGGAAGGTTCGTTTGTTACAAGAATTATGCGGCTGTGAGCAAACTGACGGTGTTCAAAACCAGCTTTAGATTAGCCAACAGTTTTACATAAGTGTTGACTATTTTTACGAAAACCTGTAACAAACTGTGGACGACCAAGTATTTGACTCAAACAACTTCCTTCTAAAGAAATCTCTGATTGATAATTTGACAGAACATAGGATATAATACCTACAGAGGACTTAACGTTTTGTAACATATTAACAGTTATCACACGATGAAGAAGAAGAAGAAGACAGAGCAGCCAAGCCTTTAAACCCGACCGTTGAAGAATCTGCAACGGGTGACCAGGGCACTGGCGATACGGAAATAGAGGCTTTTCCGAATCCATCAAGAGAGTTTATTAAACTCACCAATCAAGCACTTCAGTTAAATGTAAGCTCCTTCACGTGAGATCGTTGGCCATGTTATCGCCTTTGAGCATGTCCACAATGCTAAACTTTCCCTCCCTTTCAGGCTGAATTTTCAACTTCTAAGAGATATCTTAGCCAAGCAGTGGAATGTCTGTCACAGTGTGTACAGATGGGACTTAAACACGGCTTCAAAGTTAGTACATTTTAAGTAATGTTCTTAGTTAGTAACTCTAGTTGATATGTCGAGGTAGGATTTATAATCCTCTTCGGAGTTAAGTAGATTGCTCGTGTGAGTTCGTTTTCGTGGCAGTACCGCCTTTGTCACGCAGGTGAGGCCTTTTCGCTAAATCCCGCTAACTAGTACTTGGTACAAGGTGGTAAGCCTTGCGAATCTGTTAACCCTTTGCAATCGGAGCTCATTTAGGTTTCTGTAGCTTGAAGTGAGTAGGAACATATTTTGCTACTCTTCCTGGATAGAATGTCAATCTACCAAAGATTACCCAAGAATTTTGTACTAGAACTTAACACAAATGATCCTCTAAGAGGCCACCCCTTGTTTCACGCGCACGTACTAAAATCATGTGCTATATTATTTCATTGTTTTAGTATATACTGAGACAACTATTCACCTTAGTGTCGGAGGCTAGCGGTGGATATTTACCTCGCCGCTTCGCTTTCGGTCAACATCCATCAATAGCCACCTCTATTTCGGTGAATAGTCGTTAACTATATGCCCCCATCTGTATGCTAGATGTGGTAAGTTATGTCTTCTTTTTTTCTCGGCCTTGGTCAGGATATTGTTTGTGAGGCAGCTCGTGAACTGGTGGATTCTATTGGCGCTCATGATCCACTCACCTCCTCGCAATATCTGGCACTGTTTCAGGTATCTTTGACGGTTGAGAAACTTTTCATAGTTTTTATTTCAGTCAAACTTTAGCCTGTATTTCTGTAGGATCCTTTTGGTATAAGTTTTGTTCAATGATGTTGTTGATGTTCGTTTAATGTCCAAGTTTAATTAGGGAGATTACAGTCTTTGATTTTTATCATCTACATCATTAAAAATGAAGTGTTTGTAGTTGTTGTTGCACTTGTTGTTGTTGTGATAGTGGAGAGCATTTTATCCGGTGATAACAGATCATTTCATCACAGGGTGAAGCGTTAGGTTTTGTTGTAGGGATCATGGACTTGAGCGATTTTCTCTTCTATATGAAGTGTCCTTCCTTTGCCATTTAAAGCCAAAATTTGTAGCTTCTCTTTTTTAGAGAGAAGTCTAGGGACAAGGCAACCATGGCTGTATCTTTAATCTGGAAAAGCGTTGTAACAAATCAATGCCAATCCCTGATTTAGCCAAAACTGTATTGCGAAGAAAGGGGTCGTTACACAACTAACGTTAAAACAGCCTTTCTCAGTGAAAACATAGGATTTCTAGGCAACCATGTAATAAAACACTCAAATAGTTGAAATAGCCGTGCAAGCAAGTACAAATATCCATACGCAGTTGACTATTCACTCGGCACATTAAAGACGTCTGATATACAATTACCTTCACTTTTTGTCTTGCTTAGAGTTGCCATGCATCTCAGGTTCTGGAAGGGGTATTAAGAAGAGTTCAGCAGGACCCTTCTGTGTCGCGTCAGGCAGCCTTACTACACCAGAGAAAACTACTTACTAACATGGAGTTCTTGAGTGATACATCATCGAGTATTTTGGCCTCAAATTCTAACCATCTTGCCGACTGTGAGGTAAAGAAAAAAAAAAAGTCTACTCAAGAGTCGTTGACTGACTCCGGATTCAATACGATGAAAGGCTTATGGAGGTTTCGCCCCATTGCAAGTTTGCTCCTTATCGCTTCGCCATCATTATGACGAGTTCACTCCATAAAATATATTAATCCCCCCCCCCTCACCTTTACCAGTTCGCTCCCAAATCTTCAACTCGTTTCCATGCGACCAGCGTAATCCTATGTTCGAAGATGGGAATAATGACGGTCCTAGTAAAGATCCCAATATATCGGATTCGCCAGAAAAGGAGCGCTTTCTGCCTTTAGGAAACGAGTTGAAAGATTCTAGGGCAATGCGGCAAAAGTGGGAGCGAACTTGTTGTATTCTATGGGGCGAACTAATTCATATTAGGCGAACTTGCAATGGAGCGCAACCTTCAGATACCCGCTGGTACAGTGCAACCTCTCTCTCGGAAAACTTGTATTCAGGAGAAGCCACTCTTTAAAGGTGCAAATGCTTCTAAAACCTTACATCTGTTACCTTCACTGAATGAACACCTCTATTCAAGGGAAATTTTTGGCATTCTAGTGGTTCTCCCCGAATGTACCTTATCGCTGTGTTACCCACTAACGTTGTTGGTTGACTTTAATAGGCTTGGCGGCGGTTAACAATCACAAGAAGTCACTTAGAACTGACTCGTGAGTTTTCAAGCATGAATACTCAGTTTGTCGTGCTCCAGCATTCTCCCGATAGGTGAGCAGTCAAATTGTTCGCGTTAAACTTTTGTTATATTAATATTTTGCTGTGATTGAGTTTATAGCCGTACCTCTTGCTCTTGTTTGGTTTCGTCGGTAAATTATGGTTAATTATACATCCGGCCGACAGTGGTGTGCCTCATTAAGCGCCGATGACAATCGGCTGATCAGTAATGGCTATCAGCAGGATTTTAAAGGCTGTAGTGTCGACTTGGTTTTCTTTCTTATTGTCCAGTCCTTGCGATCGGATTACAAGTTAAACTAACAAAGTTTATGTGATGGATGTTGTTTGTACCATATTTTTTGCCAAGTATTGCTGTTGTTTTTACCTTATGTTGATGTTCTCATTTCTCATCCGTGTGTGTCAAAGATGTTACCTTTATGGAGCTGTGTTGGATAAGGGTCGATCTCCTATACCAAGCGGAAAAGCCAACAAGCAGGCATCAACTCTTCCCGGTAAGTACTGCACCTTTGTGCTTATCCTAAGTCACCCACCAAGAATATTAAATGGGTTAACAAACGCAGTATTATAGCTGTACCTAAAAAGTTTTTTTTTTTTCTAACGATGTGTGTAGAATTCTGTATCCATGGTTGCGTACTGAACCTAAGGCAGTACGCCATGATTCCTGCACCAAAAAAAGAGGAAAATTTAATGTGTACATCATGTACAGAATCTAGTTTGATTGTCCTGCTCCTAAGCCTGCCTTGTTTTTTGTCGGCTAATTGTTACTTTTTTCTGGGTTGTTTTTCTAACTCCCAAAACGATATTTTGTAATCTCCCGAAAGGTACAGTTTTTTGTGCGCGGAACAAAAAAGACTAACTGAATGAATGAATGAATGAAAGATCACTATATGTCAAATAAATGAACTGGAAAAAAAAACCCTTAGAAGGCGGAATTAATTCAGGCACAGGGTCGTGAAACTCGTTTTGTAAATTCTCTATAGTTTTTACGAAAACATGTGATATTTGAAAGTTTATTCTGCCTTTCTCTATTCTTTCTGATGGTGTTGATATTTCTTTTTATGTTCTTTAGTTCCCTCAAAGGCCATGATAACCCGCGCAGCTGTGAGTGCAGTGGAACTGGAGCAACTTATTGAAGAGTTCAGTCAGTTCAAATCTGACACTGCTTCCGAGCTCATGAGACAAACCTATGTTAGAAACCAACAGGAGCAGAGGAGAAAGATGTTGGCGAAACTTGAGGACAACAGTCTACAGGTGGAGAGTCAGGTTAGATCGCTGGTACCACTAGGTTGCTGTAAACATACAACGACGTCTTCTGCAAAATCGTTCCAACGCGCGATGCTGTTTTATAAAAACCTCTATCACCGTAGAGCTAATAAAATACAGAATCCTAAGAAAAATCATTTTAACGAATGTTTAAATTTAAAGCCGCTGCACCCAAAATTGACGATGTTTGATAAGTTGTGTTACCTGCCTTTGACCGCCTTCGTGTTCGCTTGCACGACCAAATGAACCGCGCAGTATCAATCAGCAGTTGATGGACTGCAAAAGTGTAGGAATATTTTTTTCGATATTCTCGTTGACTGGTCGACGAAAAATCTATTTTGAATTCGGCAAAAGGAAAACTTTCTAATCCTCGTCACATATGAGAGCGTAAAAGGAGAAGTTTTTGGAATTTCAAAAAAGCTTCACACAGAAAGATGAAGTTTACCGTATATCTCGCTATCATTCAATGATTTTAAATCAACTTTTACACCAAACTATATAGGAACTGTTGCCGATTGATTCTAGTTTTGCTGAAAAAGAATCTCAGCTTGAGGTAAGTCGTGCCTATGGTTTCTATTCATATGCAAGCACCTGATATTCCCGAAAATACAGAGAAAGATATCACTGGGTTTAGGAACTCTGCAAAAGTTATCAGGCGCTGTTTGTCTTGGCACTAAACGACCAACCGTGAAAAGAGAGGGGCGTTTCGTCGTTAAATTGCACGCCGTGGAGCGAGCTGATGATTAATTGGAGACATTTCGTTGTCAGACAGTCTTGAGAGATCATGATTGGAAACGTTCGTTGACATCAAGGAAGATTTACCATCAATACAGTATTTTCCTTTGTGTGGGCCACACTTCCTCTGTCTTGAAACGTATTGTGAAACCTGCTCTTTCCCGTCTTTGGTTTTTTTATCTCTATTTTTCTGTGCAAATCTCTCTGGTTCTTTTTCGCTGCTTTTGAAAGGCATGATGCGTGTTTTGTCCACTTTATTAGTCAGTGACTTGTCTTTTCATTTAAAACTGCCTCGCGTTTAAATCTGTATTTTCCTTTGTAGTCGCATTTTAGGGACGTTGTGGCAGCAGTTGAAGCTTACCTAGACCCTATCTTAACTAAACTACATCCAGCTTTAAAGTAAGACAACTGATAGCACAGACCATTTTCATAAAATTTATATCAGTAACAATGTTATCTTATTAAGCTATTGTCGGTATTAGATCAAATAGAGGTGCTAACTATTTACAGAAACCTTCCGATTGCAATTTTCGCGCTTAAACATTTCGTGGCTGAATTTAATCCAAGAAAAGACAGAAAGGGTTTATACATATCAAAATCTACTGAGAATACTGAACTGAATACACGTATGGTATTATTAATCCAACCAGAGGCCAGAAATTTACTAAACGTGTGTACCATTATTGTAGTAGAGCATATAGTTACTTTTTCAGATACTTAGGTTACGGCATACTCATATATGAACACATTCAAATGCTCTATATAAACCACTCTAAGACTGTCCACAGTGCACAAAACAGTGGATTGTGGCGGCGGTGAGCGGTAAATTTAAGCCGTTGGTAAGGCTTAGCTTAGTTACTCTCTGCTATGTTTCCTTCAGTCCAGACGCGGTTTCAGAGTCCGTTGTTTTGTTAGCTGATGAATGGCTGCTTCAGTTACCTCTGGAGGCTCTTAAAACTTTTGCTGTACCCCAAATTACCAGCATATCACGTGACTTCTCTCTACAGTTCCATTATCATCGTGTGCACCCGGCTGAACGTTCAGGTATGAAGTGTTGTTAAGACATGCCGTTGAGGATAATGAAATACCAAAGAGGAAGTTCGTCTTTTTGAGAAATACATTCAAATTTCTCCCTCACTATTGCGCTTCTGGACTGGGTGACAATGAATAAAACCCGACTTAGTCACAAAAACAAACAGAATAAAATAAAATGTCACCAGTAGGTAGGGAGAACTCAAAGTAAAGCCAAAATAAATTACCTGAAGTGTTGGAAAACGCAAGTGACAAAGGTGTAGTTGGTTTAAGTTTAAATCGCTTTGGTAAGAGGAGTGGCACGGGTTTAATGGACCAATCATAGAGCAAAACAAGGTAGAACCAGTGTAGTTCCGGATTGCTCAAGACACTCAACTATAAATCAATCACTTGGCGAACGTTATCGACGGTGAGATATAGTCATAGTTTTGTTATATTGAATCTGATGATGGCTGCCGCTCGGGCTGTTAAACTGGCGTCAATAACAATCACCGACAAGGGGTATTCTTAGGACATATCTCAGTATTACGATCACACAACACGATCACACAACACGAGCGGTTGCTGATGTATTTAGCGTTTTTAATATAACTTTCTTGCGTTCTGCATTTGAAGAAAGTACAACTAAAGTCACTGGAAAAATGGGCAAGAAACCTGACAAAGCGAAATCAGATAAGCCATCAACAGCGAAATCAGGACAAAAGAGTGAGAAAAAGGTAAGAAGTCAGTTCAAGTAGTTATTTCAATTCTTTTCTTTTCTGTTATTCGTGTTCCTTTCCTTCTTATGTCCTCGTCGTGCGTTTGCCCGTTTGATTGTTCGTACGAATTTAGCATGCTTTTT